GTTAGTTTAAGGTCTGCTAAGTTAGATAATAATCTGTCGCTGTTATTTTAATAAAAATACGCTATCTTGACATATGACCTAGCTGATCATAGGCCATTTCACATTGTTATGGGAAATGTAACAAAGGTTAATTCGTAATTTGTAGGATGTCGCGTGGAACAATGAAAGTTGAACTAATTTTGCACTGTTAGCTGCTCTACTACTACGTAGAAAACTCTCGTCAGATAAAAAAGAGGAAGAAACAAATCGTAAAATTCGTGATTCGACAGTAATTCCAAAATTTTAACGCACAACATAACTGTCAAAGCTACCGTATCATACACATTTAAATAAAAATTGAAAAACGTTTAAAACCTATTTTTATCTGTTTGTTCTATAGGAAATAATTTGAAGTATTATCCTCAACTACCATTAATTTCTCAATACCAAACTTAAACTTATGCACATGCATATGCTGCGCCACCATTTGAAAATGCAGTTAACTAATATGCAATCCGAATGCAACCAACTCGCTTCACCCTTCGCTCATATCATTCCTTTCGTAAAATTCGATGTACCAAACTAATGGTACCCAACACAGTAGTCTACGTTATGTTCAACAGAGGGCGGGTTTGTATAGCGTATACGCAAGATCAAAATTGAATAACAACGCCATCTACTACAGAGCGTCCGAACTGATAAGCTTGCCGAAGCGCGTCACAAAAGCTCCTGTAAAATAAGCTTTAAGTTCAAGGGTCAAATTGATAGATGGCGCTGTTAAAACTGCGTGTACGCAGACCTTAATGCCATCTACAGAAAACGTTTGGTATTACATAAGAAGTTGTAATGAAGAAAATTTTAGATGTTTCTTTTTTGTATGAAGAGATAGCGCTGTTCAGTTTTTTTGTTGTTGTATGAATGAGAACTAAGTTGTCTAAGATTAAACTTCAAGAGAATTAAGTTCAGCTTGAAATTAATAGTTTTAGGCATTATTTATTCATACTTAATACTACTTACGTGTGTGAGAGCCAAGCTTCGGTACGAATGGATCGGCTCGGACGGAGTGATACCACGGCCTCACACAAAACCGGCGTGAAAGAACCACAGCGTTGTGCTTCGCCGTGTGAGTGAGGTTACCGGAGACCTAATCCCTACCCCTGCCATCCCTATATATCCTGTATCCTTAAAAATCAATCAGAAACCCTTAGCTCTAAAAGGCCAGCAACGCACTCGTAACTCCTTTGGTGTTGTGGGTGTCCATGAGCGGCGCTAATTGCTTACCATCAGGTAATCCGTTTGCTTGTTTGCCGACTTATACCATAAACAAAAAAGAAAATACGATTACAGTACTTACTGTACACAAAATACGAACATTGTATGTCAACAATTAAGTCAGTAGTAGTTACATATTTTCCAATTTATTACACCGTTAACGTTTTAGATGATCCATAATTGTGGTAATCAAATAACATAGTTAAGTACCTTATCTAGAAAGAAAAAAATAGTCTACAATCTTGAACAAAATTAAATATTGTAAGAAAACAAAGAAGAGAGTAATTCTTGTGCCTGCAACTGCATTACGCTGCATGCAAAGTAATAAAACGAGCGCGGTAGCCATTCAAAGCGGAGTAATTATTCATCACCCGAACAAATCTTAACCAAACAATACAGTGCTGATGCATAATTACAGACAGATAAAGGCCCGATGTAAGTACAAAGTGGTAAGTGGGAACTCAAAATAAATGGTTGTGGACTACGATATTAATTCCTCGTTTGTCGGAGTCGCTACGCGGCTATTTTTTTAAAGGCACCGTAGGGTTAATTGTAACGAAGCGGCATTCGGACAGTGAAATATTTGGAGCGGCGCTGCAGTAAGAAGTTTGAAGAAGGTATTTCGGGGATTCGCTTTTTTTCCCTGAGTAAATTAAATTCTTTCGAGTGGTACGATTTTTGGCTCTTTATATCGCTAAGCTGTAAATTCAATTAAGAAGTGAGTATTAAATTGTTTTATTGAACATGATTTCAACAAAAAGTGCAATTTTGGTAATGGCGCTGTTGACTTTTTTTTATTCCTAATTTAAGTTAATTTAAGTTAATTTTTCAAATTTGTAGTAAAAAACTATTATCATCTATGCACTTTATTCACAAACAAGGCAACGACGCTTTGAAAAATTATCAAAGGAATTTAAGAAAGTCACATATTGAAAAACAACAATCTACTAAAAACAAACAATACAAATGCGATTTATTTTCGTTCTTCAGCAGAGTTTTCAGAAGTTTTTGGCAAACATAACTTAAGTAGGATGGTACAAGCGCAATAAGGTACCGCAAGGGGGATTTTTAGTCAGTAATGGCCTTATAACAAAACAAGGTTTTTATTTAGTCTAGGTTTAAACAATTGCTATAGTTTTGGTATTTTGAATCTTATTCTCACCTACCTTCAATTTAAAATACAAAAACTGGCTCAATGGTTTAAGCCTAGACTAAAGATAAATCTTGTTTTTAATAAAAGGGTAAAAGTCTGACACTACTTCTCGCCTCAACCTGGGTAAAAGAAATCATTTGACGATTTTCCTCACATAAGCAAGTACCAACATTTTGTACTTAAAAAAAAACTCTAGCATACCTATGACTCCACAAAAAATTGTTCCAAAAACTAGCTGTCAGCTAACAATGTGAAAAAATGCTAAGTATAAAAATACTTCATTAAACTAACTTTTATCTACCGTGTTAATCAATGGGCGTGGGCTAGTAAAATCTGATTGTGGGATTGAAAAATGCTATATACCTTGGGCTTGCAACAAAAAAGAACAACTATAATAATGGACCTAAAGTCTATTTTGGCTTGCGGTTTTTGATGGAACATTTCGATTGTTCCAAGTCAAACAGCAGACTAAGCAAACTAGAGTTGTAATAACGACAGAAGATTTATTTGAACATCCTAACACAATTAATTCAGAATTAAGTCGTTGAATCTATGAACGTCAGTATTCTTGTATAACGTGGCTACTGAATGTCTTGTAATACACAGAATTGGCTATTTAATATTAGCATAAGCAAGTTTAATGGTGAAGCAATAAAATTTTGATAGCCCTGTCTTAAAATTAATAAAATATATTTGGAGTCCAGCTGATTTAAAGCCCATTTTAAATTTGCTTGCCTGGCATTATTGCTGCCAGATATTAGAAAATCGCCAGTAAAACCGTAAAAAAACTATGGTAATATTTTTTTATTGTCATTTTATTGGCGATAATCAGCAGCCTTCGGTGTTTCTACATAAGCCAACTTTATATTGATATCCAATTTTATTCATTCGTGTGATAGAAATTAAAATTATGGAAGCTTACGCGGCAGGATATTCGCATTTCGCTAGATATACGAGCTGAATTTAATTATCTAACAGTAGTTAATTATAAAAAATAATAATAGTCTCATAAATAATTTACATGATACACGAAAACTATTTTGTATTGTTTTTAGTTGTATCTAGGCGCTGAGATAAGATCACAACACAGTGAGCTCGTATTCAATTTGCCGGCAGCGCAGTTGTTGAAAAATAATTAAAAATGCAATTAAAATTCACCATAAATCCATCAGCCGCCCCGCCTAGCGTGTAAACAAACTCAAATTAAAACCAAACTATAAATAAATGCGTCGTTATGTTGTTTTAGTGTAATCGTATATCGACGCTCCTGGATTTTAATGGTTTTGTTACGGTGACACCCAATCACACCGTATTGAATGTCTAATCGAGTCTCTTGGCATTTCTATTATAATAAATCACAATTGTGAAGGAATAACAGGAGTACTCTGCTTCCTTATTAGATTTGAAGATTCGATTATCCAAAGAAATAAGATAGGTTATTTTATTTCATTAAGACGCGAAATAATTATTTTGTCGATATATTTTAAAGCTTATGAGTTTAACGACGGTACGATACTTAAAGTACGAGTACCTAAGTGCCTTGAAGGCACTTTTGAATTAATTCACATTAATTATAGAAACAATAAATACTTTTATGTTTGCAATAAGCGTGTTGCATTTCCGTCTCAACGATTATAACATAGAAATAATTTATGGTCGATAACTTTGGAATATCTTAGTTAATTAAAACAGGATTAATTATTTCGCGAAACACGTTCGGTGTAATTGTGTAGTCAGTTCGCGAATGAGGATTATAAAATATCGGCTTGGCAATCAAAATTTTCTCTCACGGCTACATCCCATCTCTGTCGAACACTAGTGTGTGAGTGAGATGTGTCGCTGTACTAGGAACACAAACAGGTGCCAACGTCTTTTATAGGGGCAGGTGTATTTGTTTAAAGTATCAAATCGTCCAATTAATACCTTCATAAAGAAGACCCTTTGTATCGATCCTGATAATTTCGGGGTATATTGTACAACTTTTTGTTATATAATTTGACCAATCAATGGGCTATTAAAGTGGGACCGAAACGACAGCAAAAACTTTTAAATCGTTTTATTGTTACAAAACTATTCAAACGCTATTAAAATAAGACACTTGAGCTAATGTATGCCCATGAATTAAAGGGTGAAATTAAAATATTCATATTTAGTATGCATGGCAATTGTAATAAAAAAAATACTGTCAGTTATGTAAATGACATAAAACGAAACAAAATTGAATAATAAAATTTCACCCTGTACATACAATTTTAATCCAGCAATATCACTTAAAGCCATTTGATTAAAAAGCCCGCGTTATTCCATATTTTAGTGGTCAGTCATCTAAATAAATATTTTGTTCAAACAGTTTTTCATTAAATTGTAAATGCAATGGATTTCACTTAAGTTGATAAGTTTTTATTATAAACAATATTTTCAGTCAAATTTCGTTTCCGTTAAAAGCGAACACAATTATTCGTGGTTTTACTATGTAATCTATGGAGTAGGCACCTACAATATACCTTATATAACATACATGTCGAATTAAAATACATTATTTTAATTACAACGAAAACTACATAAAATCAAGGACAGTCAGACAAAACTATTCATTTGCTATGTGCTTAAATTTTTTCTAGCGTAAAAAAGGTGAAAAGAAAATAAGTATTTGCTAATATATCCTTAAACACTAAGCTTCTCAGCTCCTATCAATTGGCTAAATCAATTGAGTCTTAAATTGCTTATATTATAGATTTTACACAATCCTTTTCCGAGTGCAAAAAAGGTTTATTGTTATAATTATTACACACTTTTCAAAGAAATTTAAATGCAAGAATAAGTCACACGTAATCTCATTATCATAAAAAAGAACAAATCAAAAGAAGAGAATTAAAAAATCAAATATTGAGCAAACTAAGGAACAAGAAAATGGCGGAGCTTAAACTAAGACTGATTGGCTGCAGCCGATGCTGCTGCGGTAGCTGCAGCAACGCTCGCGTTCGTGATTGGTGGTTGCGGCAATAGGAGATCTGCTAAGCGGCCAGCCTCGCGAAGACCAGATAGGAAGGCACCGTGGACAGTCGCCGGATAATTGCGCATTGTGTGTTCACCTAAATAAAAAAAAATGTTTTAAATTAGTTTGAATAGTCACCATATCAATAAGTACTTTTCTCCCGCAGATTTTAGTTTGAGATTTCGGCCAGAAATTTCCCTTTTTTAGCTAATAGGACGGGAAACGAGCAAGCGAATTACCTGATGGTAAGCAATCAGCGCCTCCTATGGACGACAACAACGAAAGAGTTATGAGAGTGTTGCCGACCTTTTAGGGATTAGGATTTTAGGGATTTAGGGGTAAGGGACAGATTGGTAAAGAAATAGGCCTCTGGAAACCTCTCTCACACGATCAAACATAACGCAGTTATTGTTTCACGTTGGTTTTCTGTGAGGCCGTGGTATCTCTCCGGTCGAGCCGACCCATTCAGGCCGAAGCATGCCTCTCCCATACTTAAATCTTCCCCTAAAATTTGTCTGGTGAAAATCGTAAAACAATCCCTTCTGTCAATGAATTTATCACGAACACGAACAGATATAGTTCAGTGATGGATCAATTTTGATAACTTTGATATTTTGGCTTCTATATACAGACTAATATAATATAGGGAAATACATAATATTAAATCCACATCAGGCTCTACTAAACAAAACAAATAAAGAACAGAATCCTATAAACAACCTACCAGTAAAACGTAGCCTACGACTAACTATGAGATTGTTTACAACTTCGAGAGCCACACCTGTTTTATATTCCCGGCGCATAAAAATCTCACGGATCCATGTGAGGTGTAAAACATTACATAAAGTGTACATAACCGTCACGCTTGTGACTGCCGAAGGGTTAGAGATGTAACGTTCCGGCTTCGTTATTAGGTCCCATGTGAGAGGGGTCTACTCTACTTTTTTTGGGAGGGAGAAGGTATAGGCGAACAGGATTTATTGTTGCGTCTAGGGATAACGAACACTCGCAATAAAAAAAAACAAGATACCAAGCACGATATGGTGCGGAGATATTGTGTATGATCTAGAAAAAATGCATTTATTATCTTATACTCAAGTTTGAAAATTCAATAATGAGTTTGGCAGTAAAATAGGAGTTTAATGAACTAATTAGCCGTCGAAAACTCAAGAGAATCTAGACCTTGTTGACAAATGATTTATGCTCAGTTTGTATTCTCAAAATGTATTCTTACCGGCAAAGAAGAGTCTATTCTCTCCGGGGGCTCCAGGAACGGGGGCTGCTAGTAGATCGTAGTCGGTACCAGATGAACCAACAGCCACAAAACTGTAGGAGCCACGAGCATAAGGGTCGGCACGCCATCTATATTGAACAATAAGCACAATAACACATGATGATGCCACATACATTCAATGTATCTTCACTTTCCATCAACTAAGTTGGTACAAGTCCCATGTAGACAGAAAAGTTATTATCATAAACTAACTAACGAATTCTGGAAATCATAATTAACATTTGCAAACTTTGAAACTAGTAGCAGCCTGTATATATAGAGATGGTTATATCTAAGCAAAGCAAAGAAATGTTCATTAATATATGAAATTCAACAGTAAATCAACTACACATCCGATCTGATAGGTTTCCTGCAAATCGAGACTTGCATCTGTGGATAAATTGGGTCGAGAACTCCATGCACGAGGAGATTGAATCGGACCCCTTAGCCAATTTATCGTATTGCAGATCGTGTTTAAAATTAGAGCTTATTTCGGCACCTTTTTAAGTTCCTTACCTGGTAACTACACATTCCTTAGGCTGAGGTACCGCGGCGTGGCCAAAAATACTCTTCAGGACAGCGATGCATCTCCCTACAATGACGTCATCTGTGACATTTTCCATGACAGCTGCTGCTTCCCCTGCTACGAGAGCCAACAAAACCGGTGCACTGTACAAGTTCCAAAACAGGAACAATTCACCTAGGATAAAAACATTCAAGAGTTAAAATTAAAATTCAAGTATTCATAAACAGTAGCGAGAACATGTATTTAAATTTTGTTCGTACAAATTGGCTCGTTGCTCAGTTGGCTTTAAATGCGATAATGAATACTGTGGACCTTTATTTTACATTCAGTAATACGTTACGGACTAATCAAACTTGTTATAGGTACCTTCGTTACAATAAACGTTCACAAGTTCTAGCCTTGAGGACAAACGATTAATTAATTCGAGTTCGGATCGAGGTTCAAAGCCAGTCTCCTGTATAGTTCATAATTGTTATGAACCAAAGCGAACATTCTTGTGGGTATTACCCGTCTATAATACTATAGGTAAAGTCACGGTATTGTATAAAAGAACGTCAAACGTGCGCTGAATTGATTTCAACAGTTCATATTTACAATACAACACATAGTCGTTAGTCAGTATGTTTTACATATGTAGAAACAACATAGATTGTAATCTTAAGCACTCCAAACTATTGGAATTAATTCAGTCTGTCAGATACATAAGAAAAAATAAGGTGGGCGAGGATTCTCACATAACTCTTACGCGTCTAAACGATACAAGAACATCAGATAGCTGTCCTTAAGCGGCGGGCCTACACGGGCCGAAAACATTAAATTGGCCACGATTTAAAAAAAATCACTCGCGATACATTGTTCCGGCATTCCCAGAGCAAACGTGGGGGGCTTAATGAAGTTAGTAGAGTATACAACAAAGAGCTAAGGAGGTGAACTAAAGCATAACGTAAAAAAGCTTGTCTCGACTCGTAGCTGTGATTTATTGCAAGCGGCGCCCTCAGGGTTCCTCAGTAGCGTTAAATTATTCAGCTTTTAATTCGTTATCGCCGCCACCGACTTTACTTCGCTCTACACTATTTACACCTGAATATAATTCATGATTTCGTTAGCGTGCTCCGGATACAAAAAAGGTTTTAATGTAATATATTGCGGTATTGTGGTACCTGTTATATTTATTACGCGTTACAAACAATTATTTTAAATGAAAGATAAATAAATCTGATAAATTACAAATTTAAGCACTATTAATGAACCTTAAATAATTGAGTGTAGGTATAGTGCAAATACAAAATTCCATTTCAGTATGCAAATATTATTGTTCATATCTTTTGATACACACACAACAATTTAAAATATTATTCGTCGTTTTCAATGCATCTAAACTTTGAGCCATCTAGTCAAGCTTCAGCCAATTTATTTACACTGATTCTGAGTGGTCGTGTAGCCTATATTGATAAAGTTAACTTGCATCCTACCTTTATACGGCCTAGCCTCAGATATACATGTAAATTGAACTCGCTATTCTAGAACATCAGGCTTGTGAACCGCACACAATCTAAAGGATTGGCTCACCGGACTATCTCTTGTTACTTGGACGCGACGATAGTTCCGCCCGGGATAGTAAATTTAATTAGGTCTTCTACAAATTTATCTCTATATACATTGATACAAAGATAACAAGTGACAATCGGAATACACGATGGATAATGGAGATGGGAAATGGAATGAAGTCTTTATAGAGCATAGGTACCTACTATATGTACTTATGTAACACAAAGTATACTTAGGGCTGATTTTTCAATATTCAGATAAATGTTATTTGAGGAATAAATATGTAATTATATTAATATATTAAAAAATATATTATAATATTAATATATTTTTTGTAAATTAAAATAATATCTATTAAAGATTTCAAATCAATTATCTCTAGTAGTTAGTATTAGTCAGTATCAAACCTCTGCTAGCGGTGGTCGTTCCGACATGGCCGAAAAGATTGGCGCTCGGGTCCCAGAATGTTCGTTCGAAACATAGAACAACTTTGTTTAGATTTCCATAACCAAGCCTTTTAATAGCTGCAACCTGAAACAAGATGAACGCATGAAAATACTTGGTTAATATAGTCCTTGAGCTACAAATATTAAACAACACTTAAAATATATATACCTATTTCTATAGAAATTCTGTAAATGTTTGTGCCTTAAGCATCAACAGCTAATACTGATAATTTGGGTATTGGGAATAAGTGAGGGAGAGTCTTGGGCCCTCCGGTAAACTTACACACACGGCGAAACACAAAGTTGTTCCACGTCAGTTTTCGATGAGGCCGTGATATCACACCGGTCCAATCTGCCCAATTGTGCCGAAACGGGGCTCTCTCACACTAATCATGATTTTTTTGGTACATAAACAATTGCACTAACTAACTTAACACATAATATTATGTTTCACTAACATTGTAAACTTTTAGTAACATACTACAATAGCATTGTGGTTTGGGTTTACCTTTGAGTCTGACAATACTCGAGGCATATCATAGACCTTAAATATTTAATATTAAACCTACCCTTGACCTTACCTCTTCAAAGAAACCTCAGAGTCTGAGCTCACATGCGATCAATATTTAATATGGTAAAATGTATTGTAAGATTTAACAAAAGGGGTATTCTGTACCTTCCAATCGGGTAATGGGGGATCAAATTTGACGAAGTTCTGTTGGTTTTGTCCATTGTTCGCCACAGCTACCTTCAGCACGCCCAGGGGCAGTGTACACAGTACAACATCACCTGCAAAGATATTGTTTATAATAAAGGCCTATAAGAACTTATTAGTTCACAATAGTCGACTGAGCGAGTAAGAAGTTATCTTGGCATTAATATGGCATAGTTTCATAATAAGGATAACGGTTCCTTATCTATTGTGTGACTATATATTTAAAATAATTTATCAAACACCTGAAAATTACAATTATAGAGAATCATTATAATTTAAGCAGCAGACAAGGTATCTAAAAGATTTACGAGAGTGAAAAATCCATGGAACAAATTGATATCAAAAGTACCTTTGCCTGGTAGCAAAATGTTTTGTTTTTTTTTTTAGGATAATCGACTTAGTGTGGATGCAAGCTTGCATTATCCATTCACACGGCAAATTACTATCCGCTTCTGTATGAAAGATGGGTATCCTAGCATATGCACACATACTTTATATTGACTGTTTCGATTCACTTTATTATTTAAACCAGATACTCGATGTTCTATTAATGTAAATTATATTACTTTACGCTTTATTTTTATAAAGTGTATTATTAATAAGCTTTGGTCAAAATTTTATTTAACTTCGTTCTGTGAACGGTACCCTTATGCTGTCATACGTAATGGTTAAAAGTGGCGTATGGTTATTCCAGACTATAATCTATCTCTAGGCCCCTCAGATATTTTGTTTTTCGTGAAAACTCAACAAATATCCATCCATATTTACAAACTTTCGCATTTACGACGTCGTAGACGAAGTAGGATGAAACATTAAATGTAGGTACTATTTTTTTTATAATATAGCGGAAAACGAGCAGTCATATTACTCGATGGTAAGCAACTGGTGTCTCCCGTGGTAATTCGCAACACCAGAGGAGTTGCAAATGCGGCCTTTGAATTTGGAGATTGGGGAGGGATGAGGAAAAAGGAAGGATTGGGCCTCCGGTTACTTTTCTGAGAGGCCGTGGTATCACTCCGTGGAGCCGGCCCATTCGTGCCGAAGCATGGCTCTACCGCCCTTACTAAAATCACTCGTTTTATCAATACCTTTGCTCAATAAAAACAACCAACATTTTACAAAACTTCATAAAACAATAAAAATATTATCATTAAATATTTACTTTCTAAGACTACAATCAGAATCGCATTTCGTTTTAGTTTTTTATTCTAGTTTTTAAAACCAAACCACTTAATTCATTCATAGCCCAAACATTCAATGTCTAAATACCCTTTTATACATTTAAATCCCCTAAAACCGAATTACAATTACGTATCAATCAATATTTCAACTATTAGGAGTATAATTACGAATTTGTAATACACGTGAAATTCAATTAGGTCAAACGATTAATCTAGATAATCGTTGCCTTTTTGAGGACCAATTAAATATTACCAATGCTCGTGAAATCAATATTATTACAAACTGACTCTTTAATTTAGCTAACAATATAGGAAGCACCTGCTGTATAGTTTACGAGCTAACCAATTTGTTTTACATCATAATCGTTCTGTTTATTATTATCGTCTTTGCATATAGTGTGCATTTATAACATCGTTATAATTTTATTTTAATTGCTTGTTAAATGTGTACCAGTTGCCACCTTCAGTGTACGTAAAAGGGTAATCGTAATATTTCCCTTAGATTGCGGTTATTGCTGACACTTTTACTTTGCACCTTATTGTTTATTTAATAAAGTTCTCCAACGAGGAATTCGATATTAAAGTACATGAAAGAAAGTATGACATACCGTCAATACGTTTTCTCAATTTAAAAAACGATTCGATAAAATCTCAACATGGTTTCATATAACATTCAAGTTAAATGACGGTAGGGCAGTAGGGCAAAAGCAATCACTGTAAAAGGTTAGGTTTACCCGAACAAAAGTGCAAAATGCTAAATAAAAACTTCCGTATATCGCACACACGTGGTATCTGTTTGACCTGGCCTGAAGAGGTTCTTTCAATTGATTCTTCAGGTAAAAGGATTGTTTTCTGAATCAGTTCACTTAAGAAATCAATGAAAGTTTAAAGAAGGAGCTCGAGTCAAAGAGTTTACGTTTTAAATTTAATTTGTACTGAATCTTAACTACAAAATAAATATTTCTTATGAACGACCAAAATTGAAGACACAATGACAATACAATAAGACCTCAAGGTCGAGTGTTCTAAAAAACAAAAAGAAACTTTTATCAACAGAACAAAAATAAAATGAATAAATAAAAGACATTGCTTAATATTTATGTGAAACGAAAAAAGAAAACTTTCATGAAAGGTAAGATTAGAGAGACAAGAAAGACAAATGCGACAAGGGGCTTTGTTTTATATTAAGACTAGTGACGTTACATCAACCTCATAGTTTTCCTCTATATGCTAGTCGACACCAAAGCTTTTAGGATCGAATTTGTTACTAGAGCCTTTGGGACTCTCGATATGGAGCCGAATATGACTCACGATATTATGTAGATACAAGCGATAGGTACTCAAAGTGAAGAGAAAACAAAAGTACTTCAAATATCAAATCCAATGTTACGTACGTAATTGTCATCATCATCAGCCTATAAGTGCCCATTGCTGTTCAAGGCGGATTGGCGATTTGAAACTTGTAATTAGAAATAATAAGTTCAGGTTTCCTCATATGTTTTTCTTCACCGTATGCCTTTGGTGTCAAAATAATCACAGAAAGTGCATAACGCGGAAAATCACTTTGGTACATGCCAGGTTTCAAATCCGCACCCTCATTTAAGCAAAAAATCTTCTGTTATAAGCACTAGATTACAAAGCAGTTAAGGTTTTGTGAAGCGTAAACGATTCCAAAATAGCTAGATACATTCTAGCGCCGCCTCTTAAACATCTAACTGCCTTGTCTACGATAGACTCCGCCTGTATGCAAATGTGGCGGAAGAGCCTCCGGCCGGGCGACCGAGGGAGATGTGGTGAGGGGGGAGGCAGTACAGACCGCCGGGTCAACACAGGCCCGACCGTATTTTTGCGCCTCGTCAAAGTAAAATTAACGCGTTAGAATTGCAAATCATTCAGCGACAAAGAAATGACAAGGAGCCAAGCCGACGGCGATGTGGATTTTTCTCATAACGCCCATTATCTCGTTTTGTTTTTTTTTTCACAAACGGCACTTCCTTAATATTAAGGCCACATGAATTTGATTTTTCTATTTGGAACAGAAAATGCGGACGCTAACGCAGTAGGTATGTATGTGTGCCGCCGGCTACAATCGATAGGGAATGTTTTTTTCCCATTGTTTCCTCGTTACGGCACTCGTGTACAATGCAACTTTGAATAAAGGTGAGCAAAAAAGTGCGAAAAAATCTTAAATTTTACCTGAAGTTTAAATTCTAAACGATAATTTTATAAAACCTTACAATTTACTGAATATATTTCGTCATGGTCAAAAATAAGGAATAACATTCTATAATTAATAATAAAAAGGATTAAGTGAGTTAACATTACTAGCACACCATAACATACCTTTGAAAGTTTGCGGTTGACTTGGATTCCGAGTACTGACAGCCTTGACAGTAACTCCTGGCCCTCCATACTGGATGTCCGTGACTGCTGTACCAAGCTTGATGTCCAAGCCATCAGCCAAGGCCACCGGTACGCAGGAGTAGCCATTGCGCACTGCAACAAAAACATTACAATAAGATTTAATGTTGTGATGGTAACGTCAAAGACATTAAAGGATATTGGATCCCAGTTAATAATTGTAGAGGTAATCATACACTTAAAAGGTTATGCAATAAAAGGATTTTAATAAGGACATGGTAGCTTACAATATCATAAGAATAGAGACTAGGATATTTAGGTTGCTCACAATGTTTTGCAAAGCGTTTGCAATACAGACTAAATAACGAAAATCAACACAAATAGACATCGCAAAATATCCCTTTATGCTAGAAATACATGCTGTAGTGTAGTCATAGCGGTTCAGTCCCATATGGAACAAATGTTTGCCTGAAAAATACTTCAAACACAGGCTTAGTTTTACTCGTTTGCGCTGCTCTGCTATGCATTAGAATTAACTGCGTCTTTGTGTGACCGTAAATACCACAACTAAGCGTAAGCACAATGAAAGTAATACCTATAAAATTTTAATGTTAATCTCAAAATTATTTTTAATACGGTACTGAAACAATTAAACAAGGATCATGTACTCTTATTAGAACAATTTATTGGAAATAACGATATAGGTAACTACGTGAATTAACCGAGAAAATCTTTCTTACTTTTAAACCATAACGATACATTAAGTGTCTCACGACAGTTACTGCTAAAAAATTAGAGTATTTATCAAAAAAATTTATCAACTTTCAAATAGGAATCAAGCTTATAAAAGTAATATTCATCTGCTCTTTTTATTAAGAAAATTATAAAGCTTATGTACACTTTTTAAAAAAAAAACGTTTCCCCACATTAGGATTTTCTCCTGTGTCGTGGGTGCGTTTACAAACATACAATTTCACATGCACATCACACCCAGACCCGGAACAACAATCTGTGGATCACACAAAGAGTTGTTCCGTGCGGGAATCGAACCCGTGACACGTTGCGCGGCAGCCAGTTGCCCAGCCACGGCGCCAACCGTGCAGTCATTGACAAAGACACTGAAACAACAAACTACATAAACAACCTCCAGTTCGTTGTGTACAAACTTTTAATCAAGCTAAATCACTCTTTATCAATTTAATTTGTCTTAAAGCGTATTTCAAAGAGATTTACCATCTAGTAAACAGTCTTTGGGGCAACTTTCTTCGCTTTGTCTCGAGGCTTGGAGAGAATGTTGGTCCAGTTGTATCGGGTTGATAAACGGGCACACACGTTGAGATCACAATGCAGTTTTCAATTAGCCCGATAGCGCGGCGCACTATTGTGTTTTAATAACTTTAAGTGGATTTCTTACTCTATTATGTTCAGCTGTAATGTTGAGTTAAACTGTATATTGACGTGGCAATTGTTGTAAGTTTCTTTTTCGAGGGAATAAATAATAGAACAATTATATTAATAACTTACAGACCCAGCCACGCGTTGCTGTTATAAATAATATTCTGGCTATCAATTGAGATGTAAGCTATCCTATCTTTCAAGTTGGATCCTATCCTATCTTTCAAATCAAATTTAAAATCGGTTTAGTAGTTTAGGAGTCCATCGCGGACAAACACGTGACACGAAATTTTTATATATAAAGATTTCAAAAATATCTTGAGAAATGAATATCCCTTGTCTCCATCAATATGATAATTAGAGAATATTCCGTGAATGTAAAGCTTAAACATAATTAATCTGAGCAAAACATTATACGGCATTTAGCGGCATCGTCAATGATAATTATCGTAGAATAATTACAGTACAATGCTTACAGGAACCTAATTAGACTGTTTCTAACCAGATTGTAGTATGTATACTGATTTTTTGGCAAACAAGCCTTTTGAGGTTAAGAGATATGAAGAACATTCATTCTCCCATTCGTACCGATGCATGGCGCTCCCACACTTATATATTAAGTCTAAATCTGGAGCAAGGAAACGGACGGGGTGGTTTTTTAGCCAGTAAGAGTCTGACACTCTTTATCACTCCATCCAGGGCGAGAGGAAAACGTTTGATAATTTTACCCACTTAAAATAAAGAGACCTTTCACTGAACTTCTAACCACAGTACATTTACTACTTTTCAGTTCCAACAAACCATATAAGGCGACATGTCCTCGAAACTAAAACCGAATTAACACAACAAAATTACTTATAAACATATAATACAAGCATACAAATGTTCAATCTAACATTAAAAAGCATGTTACGCTCCGGAGACTAGTTTCAGTACAAACCTGTAACATTGTACCATTTAACGATATTAGCCTAGTTAGTTGTCACTACCAGCCGTGTACCATGAATAAACTGCCCGAAACTGAAGGACTATAAAAGGAGACCGTTAAACGTGCACAGACAGAGCCAACACTAGCGTCAGTGGTACCAAATATAACACAAAAGTACATAGTTTAAATTAAATGTTTAATAGTACGTATATTGTATCTAAATAAACCAATGTTCCAAATTCAACTTATTGAGATAACGGTAACAGGAGACCTATTTATAATTATTCGAGTTTCAGTTATTGAAACTACTAAATATTAATTGAGTATTGAATTAAATTTCATTGGCTTTATGTGCTCTATTTGTTTTAAAGTAATTGTCGTTCAAATATTGAACTGTTGTATTTAAATGGATCGGTAATTGATTTTATATGAAAATAGATAGCAGACCGCATATATTGTAATTCGTCAATTAAATAGCATGGAATTGTAATGAACTATTTCAGTCATTTAGTATTATTTTTAACAATCAGTCAAGCAAAACAATTGTTAATTATTTTATTGGACAATGATATTGAATCTTCTTGAATGATGTACATAATTATCTATACATAATATTTTACACATTTGACTGCACGGTTGGTGCGGTGGCTGGGCAACTGGCTGCCGTGCTACGTGTCGCGGGTTCGATTCCCGCACGGAACAACTCTTTGTGTGTGATCCAAAAATTGTTGTTCCGGGTCTGGGTGTCATGTGTATGTGAAATTGTATGTTTGTAACCGCACCCACGACACAGGAGAAAATCCTAATGTAGGGGCAAAGTTTTTTTTTAAAAATAAAAATAAAAATAAATAAATTATAAGACTGGAGTGTTTGTCTGTTTGAACGCGCTAATCTCCAGAACTACCGGTTCGAATTGAATAATCATTTTTGTGCTTATTATAACGTTTATCGAGCAAGGTTTTAGGCTATAAAACATCACACTACGATTTGTAGGAGCCGAGCAGCGAGTAAAACCGCACGACAGAAGATTATTCAGTAGTACTGAATAATTCCATGTTTCCCTTCACAAGCCCAATATCGAATAAGTTATAGAAATACCTTCTCAATATCCGCAAAGCAATTCAGTTTAAAGCTTATTATCCCTTTTATTATGTGTTAATGTCGGTTAAAAATATCTAAAGTAGCCATAAAAAAAGTATTTCAATAACATTGTCAGTCGTTAACTGGGCTAACCGCGGGCCCATTACTCCGGCAATTTACCTCAACTAAATATTGAACGAGTTTTTTGAAAAATACAGCTTGGCATTATCGAAGATAATAATGTTTGGGTTCCGTCAAGTAGGTACAGCTTAGCATAAATTACTACTGATTTATTTTCAATTACTTTTTTGTTGACTTTGGTTTATAATGATTCAAAGTCTAATAAGCTGTTTGTACGCACTAATAACCTTTGTGCTGTATATTCAATGGATTCTGTAGCAACCATAAGCTTAACTAATTAGGCATACACGCGCAATATTGACATTATGTAACTGTATTAGTAATTATAATTAAACTTCTACCGTTAGCGTAAGCGGCTGACAAACTTACTCCCCACAAAATTCTCATGTGCGCTTTTCATTACCATTTACTCCTTACATATGCTTAATGTTAGTTAATACTTAGCCTATAATATTCTTTGGTAACATTAAATCTTCTTTCTTTAAACGCGAACTCTAAAATCGGCTTTGTAACCCGAATTAACAAGGAGATCGCAGTCGGTTTGTGCGAAAGAGCTCCCAATTTGCCGTTCACCTGGAGTGCATGCTGACATTGTAGCATTTAATGTCGTTACTACGGTTTGATGCGCGCATCAAACATGCTACACCGCACATTGTTCGACGGGATAGATGACAGGAGATAAAAGTATGTGGATATGATTGTGTTCTAGTAGCTAATATTAAAGTTTATTAAGGTTTTTCCTATTTCATTAAAATAAAACTTTTTGTTAGATAACAAATGAAAGTCGTGGAACACAATCAGTCAATTCAAAAAGAAATTTTAATGGAACAATTCTCAGTTTCTTACCCTTCAAAAATCTTATGAGGCAGCCAACATCGTATCAAGTTCAGCACACAAACATCTAGCTTTGTTAGCTCAGCGTTCATTACGTTATTTTCTTCCCTCTCATAAATATCCATAGAGGCAATCTCGGCAGTACCATGCTAGTATTTGTCACATCAAGTTGATCTATGTCAGCGGCGTGAATCTCGATCACGGAACGTTGGCAGTCAACGTGATTTGTTGGTTCAACAGGGAGGGCAACGAGATTCTACCTCTAAACAATGTTACGTAGTGTTTGACGGGAGAAACATACAAACTTGCTAAAACATTCTGACCATTTTCCAAGAGTTCACACGATAGAGCGACGTTATTTATCAAAATAATGAACAGTATAACGAGTAATGTACTGAGTGAACAATTCATCAAACATAAAGCTTACCCCTAGGCAAAAACACTTGAGAAATAGATGGTTATATTTCTTTAAGGCGTTCCTCATGAACACGGAAATATTTCAAAAATTGTCCTGACAACTTCTTAAAAGAAATCTTGCTTCGCATTATTTTAAGGCACATTTTTGTATTTATATTATGTATACATTAAGTTACATATGTAAGGTAAAAGGTAGTACATGGAAGTACATGTGTAAGGTATATCTCGGATCTCCAGCTATTCTATCGTGAATGTCGATCGCAGGTATTTTGCAAACGGCATTACTATTGCTTGCTTACACACGAAGCGAAGAAGTTACAATTGAAACATTCTAATACAT